AGTAGAAATATAAAAAACAGAGGTCTTTTGAGGCACAGACGAATAAATAAAGATAAACGATGAGATTCTAAATTGCGTAGATATTTAGTAGTTTGGAAATATATATATAGAATTTTTGGGAATTCTATAGCCCGAATCCTTGCTGAAAGGTCTTGTAGTGCGTAGGGTCTGCAGGTACATAGGTTGATATAGGTACAGCGTGGAAGGAATGACACTCATTTTCCCGGCCGTTGAGTCCGGATAGCACGAACATACAGGACCCTACTTCCCAGCCCCTGTTGCGGAGGACGCGAATACTCCGCAAGCATGGCCAGAATATAGCTTATCCGAGGTTGGTGGTCAGCCCCTTCCATCAGCTAAAATTGCCTCGCATAGTCGTCAAATTTTAGTGGCACGAATCTTCAATGTCCCTTGGACACGGAGAATTTGGAAATATTTAATATTGTGAAATCCAGTGGGAAACCTCTCTTTCGTATTTACTATATGCATAGCGGATGCCAATAGTACGTAGAACCGTACATATAACATATAATTCTGTTATACGAGAATAGATCCTGGAAATGAGTATAATGTTCGCCGCAGCAATAGAAAATTGAATGGTTCTACCTATGAACTAGAAATTGAAGGCTAGAATGGAATATATCCGGGTGATAGTTCCGCATGCGGAAATTCTTCGAGGATTCCGGCTTTTAATCTGTCTAATTCACTAACCTGTTTTTCGATTAAAGTGTGGTTATACGTATATAGTAACTATAATGAATGACGTCGTACCATAAGTAAATGCGACCATAAAACGTTGATATTATAACAAGACGGAAGAACCCTGGTGTCGTCTTAAAGCATCCTTCGCCTCTTTTGCATTATCGATCTGGCGAAATATCAGGACTCGAGACAAATCAGTGGGGCGTGGATAATCATAAGGTGAAATATTAAACACGGCTCGGGGAAGTTTTATTAAAAACTCCCTTTGAAAAATGATGGATATCTTTGTCAGTGTAAGACGACGGGGTCGCGGACAGGTGAAGGTGAAGGCGGAAGAATCGGCATGGATGCCGGAAGGAGGAAAAGCTGGGGGATGAAGGTATAGGGAAGAGAAGAAAGAAATGAGAAAAGTAAAGTGCAAGAAAAGGCAAGGACGCAGTGGTGAAAAAAAAAAAAAAATCTGCAAGGGCTAAAAGAGGAAGGAGACAGGAAAAAGTAGTGAAAGGAAGTCAAAGAAGTGGTGGAGAAATAAACGGCGGAAGTGAAGGCAGAAAAGATGAAGTGCCGGGGAGAAGGACTAGGAGGTTAGCAAATTAAAGCGGCCCCCCTCCTTAACGAAGTCAACATGGGGTTGAAGGGACGCTGGAGCGTCGACCGCCGAGCGAAGACTGTTGTCGTAACAAGCGTAATCTTATATAAGACAGTAAGGGTCAATTGTAGGGAGTCAACCTTAAAGCCACCCACTCAAGTTATGCCCTCCTCTATCCCCCTCAGCCACCCCTAACCATTCTGGTCTGCCATTAAAATGATAAAATAATGTTTGCCGTGGTAAGTGCCACTAAAGGCTGCCGCTTACACCCTTCTTAAAGCAGAGGGCCTCCCCCATCCTAGACATCATCGGCAGTACCTGGCTGCTTCACTTCGGTAGGCGCCCCCTCTCCCCCACCTCTTCCAACCTTTCCGTCTCTGTCACTAGTACAAACCGCCATCACAGCCTAGGTAATACTGCCTTGCTCAACCTCCTGGTTGACGACTCGTTCACCTCCCTAGTACTTATAAACTCCATTTTCGCGTTTACCTCGCGATAACGTAAACTCCGTGGCTTTACGTAAGCACATTCGTCGAGTAAAAGCAAACGAGGAGTTAACGTCATTGACGTAACTTATATGTATCGTGTCATTTCCAGTGCGATGAACAGTCTAATTGCTTCGTGAAAATGTTCTTCCTGTATTGCAATTCGAACTGAATAAGTGCATCCAAGAGTGAAAACCGATCACGTATCTCGAAGGTATCTAGGTATCTGCATTATGTTGTTACTGGCTTTAATATAGTAAATTGGAGAAATTTACGTTGGGTTATTAGGTATTGGATGGTCTGATGAACTTGAGTTTTCGTGGATTAAATATTTGGGCAGTATACGTAGTAACAAAAAACAGTTTAAAAGATTATATGTATATATAGTGTCGATATGTACTTCAGGCGATTGTGTATTGAGAGACCTGAACTTACGATTAGCTATGAGTCGCGAAAGTCTCTCAAGGCAGAATCGAGTCTCAAAGGGAATAGTAATACTTAAGTCTTCGTTCAGATGAAACTGCCTTCCGTTTCCTTTTGCCTCGGAGGTCGTTCCCATTGAACTACATGGGCTCTACTTACCCCCGTAGCCCATAGTGTTGGCTTTGGTTTGGGGTTTGGCCGCGTCAAGCCGCGTGTTTGCGGTTTTGCTGTCGGTACTCGAGAGTAGACTCCCTGTGTTATATGTAACCACGGTGACGGTAGTGTTGGGTTTGAAGCACTCGTGAACAAGTGTAATGGACAGAATGTATTTTTCCCAACGATTTTCGATCTGTTTTAAACCGATGAAATTACGTTATTGCGTTAAACTTTGTTTACAAAAATTTTAAGCAATTTGATTTATTGTCATGTGAACGTGTTTTCTATCGTATAATAGGGGACGAAAAGTATTGAAAATTGTTTAATGGAATGCTTCTATTTCAAGGTGCCTTAAAATCATTTGTATTTAATTGAATGGTGTATCATTATCTTTTGATTGATTTTTAAGGGCGTTCATCCCTCTTACTAACCGTATTCGAGTTGTTCATCCCTACAACGGGCAACGTCTTAATAATACAACTCACTAGGAATTCACTTCAATTCATTACCCATTCCTCTTTACGTGAACGTGAATTGAGGATAACGAATCAACACGGGGATGAAACATAGGGTAGAAGCGACGTTAACTCGTGGTGAGTTTTCGATCGAAAAATCATCATTCGGCTAATTGATCGTTTAAAACAACAACGAAATTAATTGCCGTCAATTGGATATAATGAAAAAGTTGAAGTATACGAAGTTGTCAATATACATTCTCAATATATAAGAATCCAATTTTCTTTTACACGATCTAAATATACATCTTTATTTGTCGTCCTTCTTGTTTTGTCATCCCTAATACAAAAACCAATTTTCACGCGTTACACAACCACTAAAACCATCCCGCAGAAATAACACCGGAATACCAAGAAAATCTCTCTCGAAGTCTACCACGTGAACATCAATTTACGATATATTATCATCACCAAGATATATTACTATATATTCGTAAATAAATATTTTCATAAAAAATTTACAAGATTGCGTTAAAATATAAAAATACTTAACATGCCAGAATAAAGTACCTTTCTTTTGTGAATTAGTCGCATCCACCCTAAGGAGGAAACAATTATCGCACGGAAGCCTCAATCTTAGTAGCCACGAGGAGAGTACGAAATGGAAGTGGATATTAAACGGGGGAAGATCAAAATTTTAATATATTTTTTAAATCTCGACGGGCGAGTGCTGCAAGCCGCTCTCGTAAATTGTTGCCGGGGATGAAGAGCAGAGGGTGGTTTAATGGTGTCGGTGTTGTTGGAGTTTAGCGAAGAGGATGGCAGAAGGAATTACAAATTTAAAAAATTAAAAAAAAAAGGAGGATGAGTAAGTGAAAGCAAGACAAGAACGTGTCTGTACAAGGAGACTGGAAAATTAATAAAAAATAATTTTAACCAAGAGAGGATCTTATTTTTACGATATCTGCATAACGGAAAGTGGCAGATGAATCTTTCGACGTATGTTTTACGCAGGCTCAATTACATTCGAGTCTTTCGCATAATCGTAGTTTCAAGTGCAGGGGTAATAACGTTGATCTCGAGTGAAGCTGGATGAGGGATTTAAGTGTGTGTTTAGCAGTAGCGATCCCCAGTGGCCCTTACGAGGGACACTAAGGGGTACTAAGGGTCGGCAAGGGTAGTATGGGCTAGTGGGGGTAGTAAGGGATAGTGAGAGGTAAGCCGGAACATGAGCGGTAGGCCACGATATAAAATCATTCACCAGGGTTGCCACCCTGAGAAACTATTGTCACTGCGATCCTTCAGCCTCCTTCAATTCCCACATCACTTACCCCTATCAGTGGGGATAACCGTCTGTTGATTTTTATATAAACGATAGCGTGTTCCGAACACGTGTTTTTTGGCTTTCGACACTTAAAAACCACGTGAAATAAATTTAAATAAATATTGAGATTTTCTGACCGATTTCAGTTATTTTCCCGTGAAATGTATAACCATGAGAATTTTTATGCCGAAAAAAGATACCATTCCGTACGTCCACTTCATGGCGACTTTGACCATGCGGGATTCTTATTTGAAATTCGGAAACAGCGATGAGACGGACTTATGGGACGTCAGGATGTGGAAGTTGGCGCGAATCCAGGAGCTGCCAATTCCATCTCCTCGTCTTCGGGTAGATATAAAATTTCAGCTGGTCTTATACGACTTGGTTAAATCAACCTGGAACTTTCAACCCCCTCGAGCGAACCCACCTACCCTCGTCTTATAAACGTGATATACCGTAAGGGACTTGCAGTGTGCGTAAAGAGAAAAGTTCATAGAGATATATATGTATAAATATATAGGTCTCCTTTATTGCAATTTTAATGAGGTCCTCCTATGCACCTGCACTCGTCAAATCAACGCCCCAAGCTCCCCGTTATGATCTAAGGAACCTCTAGGTACTTGGGTATAATAAAGACCCGGGCAAAGCCACAAGCATTGCCACTCACAATCAGTTAACCCCCCAGAGTTTGTTTCCCGACTTAACACGTGGTCTACCACCCCAAACCATGTCCTACCGTAACCCGATTCGAAAACAAAGCCTCGACCATGACAGTACCCTTGCCCGACACGAGCGCTGAATGCTTTCCTCACCGAATGCTGGAAATCCCTTGGGCTGTCATGAAATTCACCCTAATTTCTACTCACTCTATAAGGCCCCAGATTATTCACGCTGCACGCCAGCTTCACGTTACGTCCCGCAGGAACAGTGATATTTCCTATCTGGTCGATAAATTCTGGATCAGGTCTTGTGGTCACTGTAACAATTAAAAGATATAATCAATTACACAATCCTCAAAATCAAAATTCGAAATATTTTTTTATCAATTTGTTTCGTGAACTCCAAATTTAGCTGCAATATTTCACAATACCTAATGCAGTCACATAAAAATAATTAAAGTTCAAAATATAATATAGGCTCGCAGCATATCTCGTACGTGAATGCGAAGAGTTTGAAGTTTCTTGCTAAATATATTACCCTTTACCGATCCAGATGATCGATCGTCTACAGGTACATGTTTTTGGTCTTTGGTGATTTTTTCAGAGCCATCTGCACCACGTGTGGAGCCAGATTGGTTGCTACTGAAGGATGAGCAAATTCTGCCACGGAGTTGGTCCGTAACATTTTCGTGAATCGAATCAACGAAATGGCAACGTTAGTCAACCCTTGGGAATTCGCATAGCCACGCAGATTCGGGGCAGATCAATCAATCTAACGTGTTCGTGCGCCCGTAGATGCGCTTTGAGTTATAGAACCTAGCAAGCAGGAGTGACAGCTTAGTTATTGAATACAAAATGCAATTTTTCAAGTTTCCCCGTGCTCTCCCATCTCTAGCACCTATACCCGTCTAATCTGAAGCTGCATCGTGTCGGAAGGGCTTGGCGTGCAGTTGAGAGCATGTATGCATATGATATAAGCATACACGTTAAATCCTAATAATTTTACCTAGAGGCCATAGATTTATTTTTTTACCCAAAAGTCATTCTGGTGTTGCGATACAATATTTTAATTCTTTTGTTATTCCACCTGATCCTTCCAAGGCTACTGTTCAGTGCTTACTATTCAGGTCTTGCTACCGTCACGTTTATTCGAAGAAGATGAAGAAGAAAAAAAAACGAAGATAAAGAAAAGGTTGCAAAGTCGCTGCGTTCCAAGGACTTTTCTACCATATAAAACTCGTCGAAGTGCATATACGTTTTTTTTCGAAAATTGAATTCGATTCCGTTAACGATTTCTGCAGTCGTGTATGTTTCTTGCGCAAAGAGACGGAAGAAAGTAAAAAGACGAACGTACGTTAGAATGAAGAAACGTGTGCCAAAGCAAAGCTCATACTCAATGCAACTAGTGTGCCTATCTTAGCGAGTCACTTTAAATCCTTTCTTACCGAGTCACGAAGCGACGATGGCGACTGACTTTTCCAGTGAATTCAAGTGACTCCACTTGGCAAGAGAGAACGAGGCGTAAGCTACTAGAAAATTCTCTTTGGGACATTGCCACCAAAGTGGATAGGAGTCTGGGGCAATTGGCAGAATGTCACGCCGTACCTAGTTGTAGGTACGTACACGTCGGGACGCTCTTTGAATTTACCGCCTTTCACTTTGTAACGTGAAAAGAAAATCGACGTCCGTTTTAGTAAACTTCTCGAATCGATCTTGAAAATATTTACGGTTCGTTATGTTATGATATACAGTGCAACATGACTAGCTTGGTAAACTCAGAAAATCGGACAAATTCATATTTCATTTCACAAAATTGTCACTCTACTATATACGTGGTACAGCGAAGATAAATTAAGACTTCGAATTACTCAATTTACATTGTATTGACTAAACTTTTATCATATTGCATAATTCTTTGTATAATAATAAAAAGAGTCGACGATGAATAGTTGATGGCGGAGAGTACACAGAATGAAGTTACGTTAACGTTATGTACATACGCCAGTAGAAAATAAAAAAATCTACTGATCAAAATGTCGATTAAAGTTTCATTTCCGGTAGTCACTGTACAAGCAGCTCTTTAACAAGGTGATTTAAAGCGTTAATTGCACTTGGTGTTTAGCTAGTGCAACTATTTGTAATGTTTGATAGACACTTCATCAGCGATCGATTAACTATACTGTGTAATTGTGTATCTTAGCTTGATAACTCTTGAGAGACGAGAAAGATGAGGCAAGATATAGACGGTTATCAGAGGCCAAGGAATTTGGACCATTATTTTCACCAAGAATCTCTCTCTGAGATGCTACACGCCCATGTAAAAAAATTATGTATAGATTATACGTAAACTATATACGTGTAGTATTGTATATACAAAGATTGACATATACATGTAATGCATACTTAACCTTTATGTAAAATAAAAAGACTTATGCTGGGCTGGAAAACATGTAGTTTATTAAAATTTTTTCGAAAACCGTTAAAGTTGTCGTCTTCGGATTACCGGCACAAATCAGCACAAATAAAGCAAAAATCAGCAGAATTTTTGAAAATAAAGAATTCGAAAAGTGCTGGGCTAACTTCACACAGGTATAGGATTTACGTTAATGCTTTCACAATATTACGACACTCAGATGAGTAATTCTTCTACTGCATCTTGACTCTAGTTTTCGACATGTACTTGCGCTTGGTTCTACTATGTTTCATTCCACTTGGTTCCTAAGTAACGTCAAATTTCAGTCCCTGTCCGTTGCCGGGACCACAAACTTCAGTTCCTTTCCGAAGATCACGTGTTTATTTGCAACCAATGAAGATACTTGAACGTGATATAGAAATGAATGTAACGAGAGGCGTGAAAACCTAATTTTTTTCATTAACTTCTAGACGAGGAATCATATTTTCGTGAAAACTTGCAAAAAGCTGTTTACGAAAATTTGATGTGATACTAATCTCTAGACTAGACTAGTTGCAAGATGTCGCTAACCAGAAAGGTGGAGGTGAGGTGAGATATGTAAATAAGTTCTTGTTACACATTCGTATAACACTTTTGTAAGGACAGGGACTGGATTGAGACAGGGACTGAGCGAAGAGGGACCGAGGTTTGGCTGTATTTCCAGCTGTTGTAAAATTATTTATTACATGTGACGGGATGAAAGTGGGCTCAAAGTGCACCGTGTCTTGTTTCTTGTACAATAAAAACAGTTGTGTTCGCAATCATAGCTATCATGCTTTTTCCACCATCAAATACCTTAGACGTTGAAATGCTTGATTAAAATGTTGAATTGTAGTATATGATATAAGTAATACATTTTTCTCTTTTCAATATATATTTAAACTTTCTTTCATATGAATGTTTATATTTTATATATAAGTTAAATATAGACTATATATGTTGACTTTTCTGTATGAAATTATATAAATAATTTATGTGGCTTATACGTAATTTTTCATATAGTACCACTTAACGTATAACTAAGAGATGGCAGATGAATTAAATCTATTTTAATTTATATAGGGAATATATAATTTTTCTCTAATAATATTTCTCTGGGAAACATGTTTTCACGAATATCTATGACGTATTGGTTGTACTATGATTATATATATAATATTTGGAAATGTATATTAGCTGATCTCATAATGGCCTATCGATAATGATGAACACTAGAGTGAATTATTATAATATGAAAAGCTTTCACGGTGAAGTGGTATGAAAATTATAAAAAACCGTGGACTCACTTCATTAAGCATGGAACGGTCATGATAGTTAATTTATATTTGGAGAGGGACGAGTCGTATGACGTATTTACCTCATGTCAGCGACACGTGAATATTCGCCGGGATGTTTGAAATACCCGACGATTGGTTGTTGGCGCAAAGGAAATATCCAGCTTTTTTGTGCGAATAAAAATAAATGTTACTAATTGAATTAGCAGATTTTTAACGCGTCAATAAAAATAATCGCGATCAATAGAAGTGCATAGAATCCATTTAATTGAGTCAGTGAGTCGATATTTAATCGTCATTTGCGGTAGAAAAATAAAAAATTCAAAAATATTCAAAGAGTAAAAAATCCAGATGCAGGCGGAAGCAAATGAAGCTTTTTGCCAGTACTTGGCTGCAAGGAAAATCGCTGACTGGCCGACCGAACCACTCACGTGGTGATTTATTATTTATGGTCAGATAATGCTCCTCTTATAAAATTATAACATTGTAACATCTCCTTTAGGTGTTCTGGAAAGCTGAGCACATTTTGATTTTTTTTACTGCGAATTGACAAAAAATTTTGAACATCGATCAGTTTTTGTACTACACTAAGTAGAATGGTTTCATTATTAAACTACGTATTCCAGCAGGTCCCGTACACAGTGCATCGAACATTCATCAGAAATGCATAGGGTTTCAAACGGTTTGGAAAACTGGAAAACTCAGCTCCATCCCATCGGCTGTAAAGTCCGAACGAAATTCAAGATAAGAAAAGGGGAATATATATACTTTATCTAGATTCCGAGCGTGTATTTCCTGCCGACGTGTTTCTGGTACTTTTATTTTCTTAGAGAACTCATGCCGGGAAAAGCACTCTCGCGGCCGTGTGAATGGGCATGTGTGTCGAGGGGATTCAGAGGCCAGATTTTTTTCTTTTTTTTATCATCCATTTTTTTCACCCGTTTTACGCCGATTTCCAAATCATCGACTATCACGTTGACATTCGCAAGTCTACGTGCCTTCCGATTTATCTTCTTACAGTTTCCACGATTTTTAATGAATTAATATGAACGCTTAGGGATCGCGTAAGTAATTGTACTCGAAGTAAGTAATGGTCTGTAGCACAGCATCCGTGTACTGATGAACGACAGCCGTCTGTCTATCTGCAGCCAATAAGTCGTTCTTATCAGCTTTTTCCCCACGAGTCTCTAGCTTTTTTCCTGGATGTTGGGGATGAGGTAAAAAAAGTGGCAAGTCCTATCCATCGATAGCGATTCTTGGCGTTGCCGGTAGACTGATGAAGGAAAAAGAGGAAAGGCAAAGATAAACCAACTTTTTGCTATGGGATTCATTGATGTGGGATTGAGTGGGCCCTCTTTGCTTACCTGCCACGTCAGTCTTTGCCTATATTCAATATTTCTTTTTAATACGTTTCCCACGTTTTCCCTGATATCTGATAACGATATGTGTGGCAACTGATAACTAATTGTAATCGTTACCTAAAACGAAAATTAATTTTACTTAATTTACATTTATTGCTAAATACGTTTGTGGCAGGACCAAATATTTTAGTGTAAAATATAATACTCGATTAAATATATAGGTATATGTA